CATAGCCAACTGGCCCTGCTGAGCTCTGAGCTGGGCAGCACCTGGATCCCCAGTAACTGTTGGGAAAAAGAGCTTCCCTCCTCGTGGGGAGGAAGTTTCCCCGAGGTTCTCCTTCCACAAAGATGAGAACACCTTAAAGAGGTAGGATCTTGCCTCCAATGCAGTTGTTTGATTGTTTCACCTACTTTTGTGAGCAGTACTATCCCAGAGGGAGCTCGGAAATATTTCTTTGCACAGAATCAAGACGTTGAACCAGCTTTTTTCTGCAGAGAACTGCAGGAGGCTCAAACTCCTGCAGAGCAGGTAGCTGAGTTAAGGCACAGGAGTCCCTGCCTCTCAAAGAGGGAGCCTGCTGCCAGGAGGGAAGCAGTGACTCCTGACTGCCAGTCCTCACTGATTTTGAGCGTGTCAGGAGCCCAGATCCTGTGTTCCTCTCAGAGGCATGATATATTTAATCCACTGTTTGGCAGCATCTTGTTTCAGAGAGGGACAAGGGCTTAGTACCTCCTGTTGAAGTCCAAGCCATTTCTTGAGTTTGATGTTGTGGTGGTGATCACTATAGCCCATGGTGGTGGGTTGACCCTGGCTGGCAACTAAGCCCCTACCCAGTCTATTGCTCACGTCCCCCTAGTGGGATGGGGGAGAGAAGCAGAAGGGCAAAAGTGAGCAAAAAAACTCATGGGTTGAAGTAAAGACAGTTCAATAAGTGAAGAGAAAAGAAAAACCAAGCCAAAACACAAAAAAACTGAAACCCAAGTGATGCAAAGGCACTCACTTACGCAGTACAGCAATTTAGTATTGGAGGCAGTGGCTGCAGGAATGGACGTGATTGTGCCGCACCTTACCTCCTAATTGTTGGCAAAGAGGATTCCCTTTTCCAGAAGCACCCCACTGTCACTGTATTTCCTTACACAGGGACTGTGCTTAGTCTTGCACAGGCCATGTGAATTTTACTGTAGAGGTTGATCCTGTTAAGCAATTGTAGCCACAGCTCCCTCAATTGTTTGTTGAACAAGGAGACACTATGGTTATAAGAAGATCACAACTATCAATCAGCCCTGTTTTACAATTTTGATGAGTGTTAATGGAACAAGATTTGGGGACTGAAGGAGAAAATGGAATATGAAAGGGAAAATGAAAAGAGGCTGTGAGGAAAGCATGTCATTTCTAAATGAATGCTCAGTGCAGAGGAACTGAATCTTTTCACAGCTGAAAATGGATCTTAAATCTGATGCCTTAGCTTGTTTCAGCTTCTGTAATGAAATAGAGTTTTCCTAATACCCTGTGACCTGAATTTCTCCCTGCTTTATGGGTGCTATTCCTTGACGTACAAGCCTGTATTTTCTCAAGTCAGCATTTGATGATGGATGTCAAAATACAGGTCATGTATTATGCATATAGCATTACCGATTTAAGGTGTTTACTTGTCAAGTTGAAGAAATTCAGAAATGTCACATTCACTGAATCTGCACAGCTGTCACTTGTAGTTTTTCATGCCTTTAAATGAAAGTTCTGATGAAGCAGGTTAGTTTTCCTGCACTTTTTTTTTCTCTCTTCTGGAGGAAAAAAAATAGAGAGCCTATGTATAGAATTTACCTTGTGACTTGGGAGCAGGAAGGTGGCCTGAAGGTGCATGATGCCTTGTGACTCCAAACATAGGCACACAAAATCCCCAAGTACTCCAATTTTCCTTTTCCTGAAAATACTCCAAGATTTTTGTATTTTTAAAAAGTGGATTTGTAGACGCATCTGAATTAAGCATGGACAAGGAAATTAAATTAAAATAGCAGATATTTCTCACATCTTCCAAGACCATAGGATGAAAAATATTAAGGCATGAGTCTATTTTTCATTCAAGGAGAAAACAAAATCCCTTTAACATGCTTCCTGCATTTCATACTGAATGCACTATGAGTGCAGTGTGCAATTACAGAGCTCCTGACAGTCTGTGTCTAACAGAAATGCCACATTTACTTCAATCTTCCAACACCATCCTAGGAAGACAAATATCTGAAGGGTTAGAGAGAGGTGGCTACAAATAGCCTTCGATGGAGAGCGTGCGTGTGCGTGCCTCTGTGCGTGTGCACATTGTCGAATAGGGAGGGCAAGAAGGACTTACACATTTAGACATAGTTACGCCAACTTTCTTCAATTTGCTTTTAGCTAGTAGGGAAATACCAATGTGCTCTTACCAACTGAAGAGCCTGATTCACTAAAAGGTGGTTTAGGGAGTGCATCCTGAGTTGGGGAGAGAAAAGCCTTCAGGAAAAAGAGAGAAGCAGGGCCTCTAGGGATGCTCCCAGCAGTACAACCCCTAGGGTGCATGGGAACAAGATTAGTTTTCTGTGCTCTCAGATAAGTGAGTGTAAAATGTCTTGCTGTTGCCATTTTGACTCATGATTCTGCAGAGGACCCGACTAGGCCGGCCACTTTAACCGCTCAAGGAGTCTACAGCTACTTGAGCTTTTTTCAATGTACTGTGACAAAAGCCATGTCATGCCTTTCCTGTAGCATAACAGAATGCAAAACTTAAGCACCAGAGCCTGCTGCAGAAGGAGGTGTCACACTAATACCCACCTGTCCTCAGATAGCATGCCTTCCCTTTGGAGTCCCACTTCAATTTTCATGCTGTTGTGAGAGTGTCAGGGTTACCTCTAACTCATGAGGTGGTGCCTGAAGGAACTTCGTTAGACTCACTTTGTGAGTCTGAGAAATCCTAGGCTCTGCCATGCAGACATAAGTGTTCAAAGAGCCAATATGCCTACTGGTCACAGCGTCAGACACAAAACATCTGCAGCCGATACCAGTTGGGAATGCAACTCACTGTCACTATGCCAGTCTTACTGAATTCATTTCAGCACGACAAGTAGTATTAAATGACCGACTGCTAACATTGCCAACATTTCCGATTGTCTCTAAGAAATCTGCTTTCTAAAGATTTTCTATGCACTGGTAATATTAAATAGAGTTGCTTTGCTGTCCTAGGTTTGCCTATGGTGACGTTTTTGTCTTGCAAGGCTGTTCAAGATATCACATCCACTTCTTTTCTCCTAAGGAATTTCTTCACAGACTTTTTACTCCCTTTTTACTTATCCTATCCTTACAATCCTCATGTTGTATCTAGCTTTCATGTGGTAGTCAGAAGGAAATTCATACTGGTACCTTCTGGAGGGCTAAGTCTCTCTTCTCAGTGATTTGAGTTGTATTACCTATATGTTCTATATGTGATATAGACAAAACATAGGGAGAAATGAATTGAATACCAAATAAAAATTTACATCCCATTAAATCAAGAAGTCCAGATCTAGTGGTCCTTATAGTTTGTTTTGTTTAGGGACAGTTTAAGAGTGATGGTAATTATCGCTGGAAAAGAACCATAAATCCCTCAGACAATATAAAACCAGTACCACATGTTAACAACACTACAGTTTAGTTTAGAGATTTCCTGGTTTGTAAATTAGTCCCCAAACTGAAGAAAGTTAAAGTAGATAATATCATATATCATATCATATCATATCATGTCATCTTCTTCTGAATTCAGTAGCAGATGAATGTGTCAATGAATTTAATGCAGTGAAACAGTTTCCACACTGCAAGAAGATAATGAAGTTATGTCCTGAATTAATTTTGCTGTGATTAATTTAGAATTGATATATGGAGAATTCAAAACTAGTTCAGACCAGTAATGACAGAGGATCAAAAGTGTCCCTGGATGTCAGGTGTGAAGTAAAAGAAGTCGGGTGTAATATGGCAAAAAAATGAATGTTTTCTCAAAAATGTGTGTTTTAAAGTGAGCTTGGCTCAATCCTATCCCTAGCAGACAAATATTTGCTTAAAAATGCTGCCTTGATATTGATCTACAGGATCAAACTCTGGTTTCATCATCACTTCTGCAATAATGACATTAAATGAATATTCCCATGCTTTCTGCAGCTTTAATGGACAAGTGAGATGGAATGCATTAGTCTCAACTGTGAATTTCCAGTCCAGTTGTTGCATGGGCTTTTGTATAACTGCCTATTTTTCAGTACTTACAATCAAACTCCAAAAGGCTTTGCCTGGGTATTTTTTATTAAAAAAAAAAAAAAAAAAGATTAAAAAATGCTCAGTGTCAAGAGTTCGATTTCAAACTGCGTAGAGAATCAGGCTGAAAACACAAACTTTTTTAGAAGTGAACCTTGCTGTTCTCCAGATCTTTTTTTCTCTGAGTGCCTGCCAATATGTTTTCTTTCCCACCTTTGTTTCCTTTACATCCCCAAAGGTATAAAACTCTTTCTAGTTTCTTTTCAAGCATTCCTCTTACAGACCATTTGAAAACCTGTGTCTTTTTCCTTCCATCCTATCTTTTTTCTGTTAGAATGGGCCCTTCCATCCCAGCATTCCTGTAATTGTATTCCTCATAAAAATGCATATTATGAACGGTACACCTGAAAAGAAAAAAAAAGAAAATTGTGTGGGTTGTATTGCTCCTGGAAAAGTTAGAAAATTTTAAATCCTGCATGTTGATCAAACCTAAAACTGCTAATGGAAGCAATTTGTTCCTCATGGTTGTACTACTGTTTACAAACAATACTATTTAAAATGTTGATTGAGTTTTAAGGAAAGGTGTTTGTTTCAGAATTATTTGAGATACTAATAGGACAAAATTAAACCTCTCTAACACTGAAGTCTTTGGTTTTTTATTTATATTTACGTAAGCATTACTCTTTCCCTTTTGCATGTTTTAATGCAAAGGCTACCTGGGATAACAAAATAAATTTCAATTTCTCCATTAGCTACCAAATATCTTACAGTAGAAATCACCTACATATTTGTGAAGGATTATGCTTTTAAGAAATAATTGTTGAAAATTAAGTCAATTTTTTTTACCATACTTTTCTGGGGAAAAAAAAAAAAAGAGATAGGGAATTCCCTGTTGGTGGGGATTTTTTAGTATAATTTGTCCTGTGTAAACTTTCTCTTTTTCTTTCTTTCTTTCTTTTTTTTATTTTCTTTTTTAGGCTTTACACCCCCTGGGATGGATAGGTCATCTCCAGACAACAGTCCAGTCCATGGCCTGTTACGTCAACCCTCCATTACAACAGGAGCCAACATCCCTATTATAACAGAGCTAGGTAAGGAAAACTAACATTTAACCTTTCAAGTACATTCCCCTATATTTTTCCAACTTCCCTTGTTATGCAGTCTCAGAAAAATTACCTATACTGTATCTTTACACTGCTGTGTTTTCTCTTCTGATAACTGTTTTGAATTACTATTTCTAAAGAAAGATTAATAACAGTTGTTTCACTTTATTTGAATAACTGAAATCTATTTCTCTCTTTCCTTTGCAATTTCACTATTTTCTTAAACACTGTATCAGACAAGATGCTTTTTACATAGTGTAACAAATAAGCAGGGGTCTTTGGGCTAAGGTTAGAAAAGAAAAAACCCACAGTAAGTATGAGCAGAGATTTCCTGTACATTTAATCAATAGTAAGAGGCCATTTGTTTATTTCTTCATGGTCCAGAACTTTTTAATCATGTGTAACCAAACTCTGTGTAATAGTATGAGACATTTTACTCCTGAGAATATGATGATGGTAGGTAACCAGGCTCTGATTTCCACTCTAGCTGTGGGTATTTATGTTGTCAAATGGTGTGATGTGAAGTGCAGAAGCTGTTCTGTTTTTTTCATGGCAAATACAAACTTGATTTGTGGTCCTTTGTCCTTTTATTTTCTTTTTCAGTTTTATTTTTTAGAGCCTTACCTGTCTTTTTCCCTTACTTTATTCTCTTTCTGTACTTTCTTTTTCCCCTTAAATACTTTACTTATTAGCTAAGCCTGGCAAACTTCTGCCTTTGGTTTCAATCAGTCAGGAAAAAAACAGTGGAACCCACATTCTAATGATAACTGAACTGGGTAAGAAGTGCCTTTTTCCTTCACATCACTGTCTTATTTTCTGTTGTTGTTCTTACTGTCATCAGCTTTTCCTTTATTTATCTGGCTGTATCAGAGGGGCTACCCTCATGGCACTGCTTTGAATGTGTTTTATTTGTGGTTCTAGTTGAAATTGACTGTCTTGTTCTGGCCTTTCTTAATGATTTTTTCACGCAGCATCAGTAAACCTTTGATCACACTCGCCTGACCTGCCGGCTGTTTTCATAGCACCTTCTCACCAATTCATTTTCTTTGGCCTGGGTCCCCACCTCCCGGGCCCTCCCTCCCCCCCACCAATTTTTCTCTCTCTCTTTCTCTTTCTCTTTCTCTTTCTTTTTTTGTTTTTGGTTTTTTTTTCAGCCTATTGTCAATTTGGTGGACATGCCTTAGCACTTCTCACAGGAAGTCCAAGAAGAAATAAAAGATACCAGAAAAAAAACCAAACAGCATCATACTTTCCCTTAAGCTATTTGTTTGTTTATTTGGGGGAGCAGGCCTTTTCTCAGAAGCTCAGGTTTTGAAGCTGTAAAAAAGCAGCCAAGCTTCTGCATTGCTCCCTCTCAATAAAGAGAACTCCCACCAGCTTTTCCGAACAGTGTTTAATGAGCATTTCCTATGGTGCAGCACCACACATTCGAGCCTACCTCACCTAGCCTGGAGACCTTTCGCAGAAATCCTAGCCTGCTAACTTGCATCAGGAAGATAAAGATATTGAGGATAAAACCACACTTGCAGAATTCATGTTAGAATTTGTAGTACCTTGGAAACTGATACCACGCGCAGCTAGCAAGCTGGTGCCGAAGTCAGGTATTAGTCTACCAGATGTAGGTGGAAAAAGAATGCTACTGTCAATAGTGCCTATGCTCAACTAGCAAATTAAGCTAAGGCACAAGCTCTTCAAAAAGTACATTTCGAAATGGTATGTCAGGCTCTCAAATACTATTTTGTTCGAGAATCTGGAGAATAAATTGATAGCCATTGTACAAAGAAAGGAGTATTGTAGATATTGGTGTTTGCTAGAATGAAATTCTTCTGACTCCCAGGGCAGAACACTTCTCCATTTACAATACTGAGGTGTTCTGTTTTCATGGTTACATCAGAGGGTGGAAAGGCAGGAATTTTAAATCCTACTTCAGCTCAGTTCCTGACTGAATGATCACGGCCAAGCACTGGCTCAACAGGGCTCTAAATGGAGAATAACACTTCTCATCTCTTTTAGACAGCTATTGTGAGGCTTTATCTATAGTCATTCATGTTTGGTAAGCTAAGCGTGGCAAGCACAGTAGTATATACAGGTTGGAAAAGGAGTGGATGGAAAATGAAACTATATACGAAGGAAGATCAGAATAGCAGGCGGAAGAATTTCTGGCCTAAGAAGTCCAGAGTTGAAACCTGATCAAGTTAACAGCAGCTCTCCTGTTGTTTTCAAAGCTCAGGAGATGTGTTCACATGGGGAATAGGGACATAGTCCATGTGTGCAGTTTCAAATGCTGAAAAAGTTTTTAGTTTCCCTTCCTTGCATGAGAATTGAAATTAATTTGTCATTTAATAAGGTAAAGGGTATTTCGATGGCATAGCTAAGCAGTCTGTGCTTTCATGCCTGAGGAGGACTAATAGGGAAATGTAGTATTTCATGAAATACGATCCACTTGATGCTCTGATCTCAAGGAAACAACTATTTTTAGTGGAGTGAGTTGGAGGCAGAGCTCTTAACTGTGACAATGAAATGCCAGAGAAAGTCTAAATGACAAATACTACTTTATTTGGGCTTTTTCTTTATACAGCCTGATGTAGATTCTTTTTCGCAGTGGCTAATGTAGGATTTGTGTCTAAGGAAGTGAAGTTATGGAGACAAATATTTGAACAAAAGGGAATGCTGCAAGAGAATAGCTGGAGTATTGCTCGTTCATTCAGATAGATGCATGTTAAAGGGACAGTTTATCCTCTTTGGAGCGATAAGTGCATTAACACCACTCCAGTAAGAATCACAGCAGCCCATCTAACAGATGCCTGTGGGCTGTATCAGCGTTTTATGGAGAGCCTTTATTTTACAACGGGGTTCTGACTTGGTATCTTCTGATAACATTTCACTGTACATGCATACAGTCCTAGCCACTGTTCCCGATCAATACCAAGGTTGTCTCAATATATAGAAGAGTATCACGTATCTCATTTTGAGTGCAGGCAGCTGGTGCCACAAAGCTGCTTTTACAGCAAAGTCATAGTCACCTCTCAAAAGCAAGAGAGTCACCTCTTACAAGAAAGAAAATGATCAACAGATTTTTAAATGCACATTTTCACATCCATCTTGATTTCATTTTCAGTGACGTCAAAGACACAAGTCTGTGTTTCCAGACATATGCCGTTTCTTTTTCTTTCTGACTGTGTAATGTGTAAGGTCACATGCTGGTGACCCAGAGGCATCTGATGATTTTATTATTATTTATTTATTATTTTCAGTAAATGATTCAAATGTTCAGTTCTTGGACCAAGATGATGATGATGATCCAGACACAGAATTGTATCTCACGCAGCCCTTTGCATGTGGAACCGCATTTGCTGTCAGTGTGCTGGACTCTCTCATGAGCGCAGTAAGCAAACAAAACCTTTTTCATTCCCTTCCATCAGACTTATTGTGAAAGAGTATGAAAGCCTAGTCCCTTTTCCACAGGTAGTCAGAAGGAGACACTTTTCTCTTAGATGTCAAGAGAATTTCAGAGCCTAAACTAGGTTATTTTTTAGCTGGACACAGAGACCTTAAAACAGCTGAGATATCTAGTACTACCATGAGTCCACAATTTTAAAAGCAAAGAGTCTCATGTCAGGCTTTAAGGATAATATCTTCCAAAAAATGTTCAATCTCCCTCCAGAAACCCAGACCCAAATTCAGTGTGTCAGCCCCTATGTTCACTGTTCATGTCAGACAGCATCCACCATGTTTTAAGCTCTTAATTTCCTGTAGCCATGAACAATGCTCTGAGTATGAGCAGAAAGCCATTGTATACATCATGTGAACGCTACTTGTGTGAAGAGAGGTCATAATCTCTTTTTCACATGAGTTGTCTTGTGAATTGAAACATAAGTGTACGCCAGAAACTACAGATGGTGGCCTTTGGTTATGTCTACATTAGGGTTTTTGGTTTGCAGCCATAGTACAGTTTTGAAGCAAATGCCTCAGTCATACTCCTTTTCATCCTCCCTTGCTTCATACTGATCAGGTTTTCAGACCAGTCTCACCCTGTTTGAGCTGCACTTCTTTCAGAGGGACCTTAAGCTCTGCTAGATGTAGCAAGAACATAGCCTTTTTAAAATCTGAGCATAGGCTTTCTGAGCTCCTCATGGAATAAAGTTCCATAGTGCTGGAAATCATCTGCTGTAAACCCCACATGATATTAAAAATGAGCAAACGGGTTTCCTTAAAGGAGCCAAGTCTGACCTTCACCTAAATTCAGAATGAAGCTTTTTGCTTTTAAGAAGAATTCACGGTGATCTTTATTATTTAATATTTTATTTGTATTTCATATTTATGTATCTGTAGTTCATATTTTTATTCCCTGCTATATTCCTCATATTTTCCATCCACAGATGAATAATATCAGTCTACACCGTTAAAATTTTATTCTAATGCAGCCTAAGAGTTTGCAATAAACTCAGAAAATAATTTTTTTGAAAGTTATTGGCCATATTTTGCAGATGTGACAAATTCAGAAAGCCTAAGCAAGCACACTTAAACTCTGTACCTTCTCTAATTAAAATCTCTATGTATAATATATTTAGCATTTTCACATTATAAATAGGAATAATTTAACACGAAGGTTCCAAATTATTATCTACTGTTTATCTACTCACATTGTTATCTAAATCAATGCCCCCGAATGAATCGTTCAGTAGGGCACTTCCAGAATCTTGGAAAAAGTATTCCTCTGATTGCCACTGACATCACCACAAAAAGAAAGCAAAAAGTTGTGGACACCATTGCTCTCTTGTGCAAAGGTGTATCATGTAAATAATAGTGAGGCAATAGGACATATGTGGAACATGACTGTTCAGAAATTTTTACTTGGAACTCATCATATAATCCTCACAGTATTTTAGTTATTGCTAGCTTTATTAACTTCTAGTTTTTGACACCTTGCCCCTCCGTTTCCGCAATTCCTTTCTTCAACAGAGTCTTTTTTTCAAACATTTTCATATCTAAGTGGTCATATTATATGTCAGGGGCAGTGCAGCCTGAAGCCAGAGAAGTAAATGTGGTAACAAGTGTAGAAAATTCTAACTTCTTAGAAAAAAAAATAATCAAGAAGACAAGCCAAGGATTCAGTCAGTTAGAATTGTTCACCATTCTGTCTTTTCTTTGACCACTTTGCTGATTGGTGGCAGCGTTATTTTCTCTTTTATTCCTCAAAGGCCTAGTAAAGAGTTGGAAAAGTACAATTCTTCCTGACCCTTCAGAAAGCATTAAGATGTGTCAGATGTTTTCCCTTTACTATCCCTATTCTCATGGGAAGGATGTATTCTCCTTTCACTTCTCCGAGGAAAAGAGTGTTCTTCACGCAAACTAATCTACTTGCACTGTATTATCTCTTTTTTTTTTTTCCTAGAGTACACTTGTTTTTAGGGACCAGCTTCTATTTATTCTGCCTAACTTACAGCCAGTACCAGCAAACTGAACACAAAATCCTAACTAAATTGTGAGATCAGCAGTCATGCTTTCATCCTATTAATTGCACAGGTATTCTGTAAGAAGGAAATAATACACACTGTACTGGCCTGTGCCAGCTCATTTTGAGAATAGGCTATAGTTCGTTATTCAATCTGCTTAGCGATTTGGGATTTTTTATTGCTTAATTTTTATAGAAAAATTCCAACTTATGATCTCTGTTGATATCTCTGGCATGCAAATTCCTTATATGGTCTACAGTACAAACGTACAATGCATGAACTGCTCCATTAAGAAAGAATCTCCTCTCACAGTGGTGGGGTTTTGTAGTAAAACAAGTGTAAGAAAGATTAGAAAGTAGAATAATATCCACGCGTACAGTATTCTTTCTGATCTGCAGGTAATTTGAAACATACCTATAGATGTATGTATATAGAAAAAGAGGTACAAAATATATTTAAAATAATTTGCTAAAGTATTCAGTTATTGAATAATAATAATGATACTAATAATTCAACAGTATTAATCAGTGTTAAATTAATATTTTCTTTCATGTAATTTTATTAATATAGAAGTAGTGGAGTAAACCCTACTCGTGAATCACAAATTAGAAAATGCGTTGTCACTTTCTGATTCAAATTTGAATGCTGAAGATCATAACGTTCTGCTAGTTTAGCATTATTTCCTATAAGATGACAGTATTAGATATTTTAAATTTGAAGTTTTCTGTTATTTTCTATTTCAAAGATAAAAGGCTTAATGAGTTTTACTTTTCAAAATGCTAGCTACAGGCTATCTACACAGTTTGTCCTCTGCAGCAAAGGCAATATATTCTACAAGCCTATGATTCACAGTGTGGTAGTTCGAAGATCATTGCTCAGAAGACAATAACGAGCCCAAAAAACTGCATTGTCTTTTTGATGAGTTGGTAACAGTGGTCTCTCCAGGCTTTGGTTAAAGTGCATTATTGTACTCTGTGTGAACACTGTAGACATGGTTCATGTTTTAAGTGTGGCAGTGGCTATTGTTAAATCACACCAGCTAATCATTATTATGTCTTTGAAGAGACATCTACTGCCATCAGAGACGTGAATGATATATTAATATTTGTTTTGTCATAACATATGCAAACCCAGGGAAAGAATATATGTAATCTGTCAGTCTCAAGGTGGCGCCGCTCCTGAAAAGCAAAGCACATTCTCATCACCAAATTGAATGTGACTAAAAGCCATGGGATTGGAAGCATCTTTTAGATAATGTGGATGTTGTGTAAAAAGATTATCTTGAGCTATAAAATTACATGACATAGGATAGCTTAAGGGAAGCAAATTTTTGAGGAGGAGTACTTTTTCCTTTTCTGGGCCTTGTTGAGATAGTTTTTCCAGAAAATCCTGTGCGTGCAGGAAAATCAGTTTTATTGACACGCAGTACTTTCAAAGGTTTGAGCAGTTGGCTTGAGAGCCAATGCTTCTCTGTTACTCCTTTTGGTGCTAAAGCTATGAGAACCACAGAAGTTCTGGCAGGTTGGCATCCCTCCCATACATACTGCTGACAATAGACTTGATGTACTGTCAGAGTGCTGCCATTAGAAGCAAAGATCTCCACAACCAGATTATACCGTTTAACATTCAATATCCTCGATTTCCTTGTACTAGAACTTTAGGTCTTGGTTTTTGTTCTATAATACTACATTCTACATTTTCTTCATATAAACAAAAGCACAGAATGGAAGACAATAGTTAAAACAGTTAAAAATAACTTTTCAGTATGTCCCTTACTCAAGAGTTCTCCATCAGGGATCCTCACAGTCTTATTTATACAGAAAAGAAACTGTTCTAATCTATGATATGGGCATTTTGAAACACAAGACTGGGTTTTGTGCAAGTCTGTTCAGGGGATTAGCAAGCATCATCTTGTAACCTAAAGCACCCCAAACTTCTTTAAAGTTTGGACAATATTTTGAGAATCAATAGATTTTCAAGGGGTGAAATGCTGTTAGTTATTTTCTGCTGTTGATTCTGTCTCAAAGGCCCTTTTGTTATTGGTCTAAGTTACTGATGTTAGCTTAGATTTGGATATATATTATTTATTCAACAGAATTCCTCCAACTGAAAAAGAAAAGCAAGTTAAAGTATTTGTTTGAAAACAGTGTTAAAAACTGCATGCAGTGGAGGAGGAGTCTTCTTAAAAGAAATCCATAAAAACCCACTAGCAAACACAAAAAAAATGGCAGATATGACTTGGAAAATGACAATTTTAGAGTAATTATAAATGAAAGGCAAAGTGCTATTAAAGTTAAAGCAATGTTATTAAAAGATGTGCTAATTTTCAGTTAAATTTTCTGTAAAAGACCAATTAGTTTAAAAGGCTTGTCAGCATTAACTGCAAAACATAAGCACTCTGGTAATTATACTTTAAAAAATGATTGAACAAATGGGAAAGCATCCCCAAAATGTTTGAAAGAGCTGGACTACAATTCCGGAGCATAGGCTAGGTGGCACTGCTAGCTCAGATATCTGTGTCAGAATTTCCTTGCTATTTACCCAGTTTCAATGTCTATGATGCATTTCCTTTTTTTCTGTGTTTAGACTACACCTATTTCACATTCTCATTCCAGATGCTAATTATAGCGATGTCATACAGATGTCCAGTGTGGGGTTCAGTTAATGGCAGTAGCAAACAAGTATTTCTTCAGTTGTGATTTTACAGTCAACAAAAGGGATTCACTACCATTACTGGAAAGTGTCTTGTTACTTTAAGTACAGCAGCACCTTTCCAAAGACGTTCTGTAGATCAGTTTCTTATAAGTACTGGCAGTTCCAGGCCAGGTACCCTCCCACAGAGCAAGTAGAAGATCATTCTCAAATTAATTTCAGTGTATTGTTATTCCAAAGGAAATGGATATCCGGTAGTTCAGCTTTTCAGTGTCCCCAGTTCCAAACTGGCAAGAGGTAATGAGAGGAGACTGATTTTTGCGACAATTGAAAGCATGGACAGACGGGTTTTTCCTGAGGAGTGTTAAATATGTTAGTATAGGAGGAAGCAAGCCTATTTAGCAGAAGGTGACAGGTTACAGCTTCCTATTCACCCATCCTGTCTTGCTTATGGTTGGGCATTTTCTGATCGGTTGCAGTGCCAGAGCAGTCTGCCCTGAAAGTTGGAATCTTTTTACTCATTGATGGCAAAAACCCCCAAACCCATCATTTGGCTGCACTCATCCATCTGATTAAATGGTGACATCCACATCAGTCATGGTGTGAAACCCAAATTAAGCCATTGTTCCAAGATAAATGTTGCCTCCTTTGCTAATAAATGTCTTAGCATTGCCTTAACATTTGTCTAGCAGTGGGAGGCCTTTCTCCAGTGACAGCATTCTGTTCCATCAACAATAGACTTGATTCTTTTCTCATTTGCATCAGTTTCATAGCAGTGTATGGCTCCCAGAGTTACTCCTGGTTGGCACACAACATAAGCCAGAATTGGGCCCATTATGTTGTAATTGCACTGGGGTTTGGGGGTGGGGGTGTATTTTATTTTATTTTATTTTATTTTATTTTATTTGTATTAATGAATTTGTGACAGGTACCTGACTTGATACATTATTTTACTACTGCTTTCATTTCTCAGTTTAATATGAGATCTGTAGTAAAATGAGCAATATGGCCGCAGTATAATTTCTTAGTATATCATGCTCTAGTGAGCTACAACTGAATTTACGATAAGGGGTAGTTGTGCACTTGCACAGTACAAAATTCAGATGAGCTAAGAGTATATGTGTTTAAATCTTGGGTTATGGCTATAGTTGCTATAATTTGAATTACAGAATAAAGAGAGAGAGAAAGGGTTGGGAACCAGGGAAGGCTGGCCTAATGATACCTCCTAAAGAGTAATAAAATTATTAGTACAATTTTAGACTTTTGCATGTTTTACCAATCACTGCAAGTCAGCAGTCTATAAACCCAGGCTATTTTACACAAACCAGCATCCATCAGTCTTAGAGCAGGTGAACATTTCTTACCATAGTTGGGCCCATTGTAAACCAGACTTGAAAAATCTACCAGTAAAGATATGCTTTACTTTTGTTTCATGTTCTTCTATCTTGATTTATAGATGTAAACCTGAGAATAGCATTTTTGAATAATACTAAATATCACTGCTTAGAGAAGAAAAAGGAATTAAAAAATACTGAATAAAAGAGTGGGGAAGGTATGAGAAAAGATACTATTGCAGAAAATGCTATGCTTTTGTGAAGATATGTGCTTAAAGTGCTGTATAGAATATGTTGAAGCACATTTTTACTGAAAGGGCTTTTCCAGCTTCTACAATTGCAGTGCCTCCCGCCTCTAGATCTGGCAGAATTTGGCTTTATATCCATGAAACTGGTGTCAAGTAACATTGCTGCCTAACTGCAGGAGCAAAGGAATTGTGCTAATTATTTTAGTTCTGAGTGGTGTATAGTATACACTGACAAAAGCGGAGAAAAGAGACTAAACAATGCCAGTTTTTTTTTATTCTGAGTACTTCCATGTTGGAAGAGTATAGCACAGTGGGAAGAGTTGCCAAAGAGGGCAACTCTGATTCTCACCTCAGGGACATCGAGGAAGAAGTAATTGAAGAATAAACAATCATGCCTGAATGTCTTCTGTCTCGCACCACGGCAATTCCTATTAAATATCATGTAATCACTCCAGACTTACATCCCTGCAGAGGGGTCACATTGATTTTTCTTCATGTTAAGAAAGGTTTAAGTATTACACTTGAATTGTTACACAGTGCATCCAATATGTAAGAGCTGATTTGAGATTAGCTGTTGGTTTAGACTAACTGAATCTTCCTGAACCTGCTAATGTCAGACAACTCTTTACAGTACACTTTGTATTTAAAATATATAGTGCTTTACCTGGGCTAATTTAAAATAATTGGGGTTGATGAGATGCAAATATTTGCTTTAGGGCATGTGTAACAATAACAATATGTTTCTCTCATTTTAATTTAGTCAACAGGTGAATGGCGTATATACCTATGTAAATAAGCAGAGAAGCTTGAAGTTATGAAACTTCAATGTAACAGTGAAAAATGTTGCTGCATAGAATTCATTTGCTCCTGTTTTATCTGTCATCTCAAGTGAACAATAAAACTGAAGTTTCATTATACAAAGAAAGAATATCAAAGTAACATGGATAGGAAGCTAGTTCTGCTTTTTGATCTCAGGATAAAATATTTCAAGTTGTACCTCAGTTTACCCATGTATTAAATACAATTACATTATATGGATAGAGCAATGAATTTCATTGAAAAGTATTACTTCAAAAAGTATTATCTTTGGACAAGCAGCGCGGTTTGAGAATTCAGTATTCATTTTTACTTGGTTGGATTACAGACATTTGTTCCAAGTCCTAAGTTCAACAAAAGTCACAAATCTAGTAATGGAATCCACAAACCCAGGGATGTCAATCCCGTGTACTCTACAGTGAGCTCATTTTCTTCTTGTATGTCCCCATACAAGGGGGGACACTTGCAAAGCTTCTGAAAACACAGATGTTAGTGACATTGTAAGCGATGGTGTCTCCTTTTTTTGTTCAACATTATTTTTTGCCCAGTACATTACATTGCAGATATTTAACTGAGTATATCAGAACTATACCAGTATACTTTTAAGTGAACTTGAAAGTCATTCATCTGGCATTAAATTAATATTTAAAATACCCATTGTTTGCCTGACAGACCAGCAATGCTACAGATGCTGGCAAAATGTCAGTGTGGAGCAGATCTTCCCTAATAAACCACACTTACCCTATACCCTAGAGTTTTTTAAAAGGACCACCAGGATCCCAAACTCATCATACATTTATCTGGAATGAACTCAAGATGTTTAATTGATACATGCTTATGTCTGAACACTGTCAAGTCTCGTAATAAGATGTTTAGTACCATACATCAGTTAGACTGCTAGAGTCCAGCCACAGTAATAAGTAATGACATTTGCAGCACAAAGGCAGCTCCCCAACGAATTGGTGACAAGAGTAAAAAGGCAATCTAGCCTGTGTAAGCTTTAAATGTGGTCTGAATTTTACAATTACATGTCCTAAAGCCCATTATTAGACATGAAGGCAATGAGAAGGAAAGCAGTCATTGCATCACTACTAACACCAATTATAGGAAACATAAATCATTCAAATTTTTGTACTTTAATAAAAATCAGCCTGAATTGGTGTTTAAAAGGAAGGATCTAGTATAGGAGCCTAATGGGATAGAAGAAAATAGAGTAATTGGAGGCTGCTGTCTTTTCACTTTCTATGTAAAATTATTTGAAGAGACAGCCAAGAACTTTAAACAGCAGAAACCCAGAAAGTTGTAATTTGGATGTCTTCAGTTGTGACTTTAATGGTGTTTGCTTAAAGAGCTTTCTTTTATCTCTGCAGACATACTTCAATGACAATATCCTCACACTGATACGGACATTGGTAACAGGAGGAGCCACACCAGAGCTGGAAGCACTGATTGCTGAGGAAAATGCATTGAGAGGAGGTTACAGCACGCCCCAGACACTTGCAAACAGGGACAGGTGTCGAGTTGCTCAGTTGGCTTTGTATGATGGGCCGTTTGCAGACCTAGGGGTAAGATCATGAGGGATATGTAGGACCAGGGCTGGTCTGCAGTCTATTTGTTTTCTCTCAGACTGAATTAAAAATCTATCTTAATTAGCATATAATTTCTATTATTTAGTTTAATAGAGCTTTTGGATCATTTGACAATTTATAGCACAGGGTGCCAGGTTTGCTGTTACCCTTGTTAAGAAGCTGTATGACTTCCCAGACTCCTTGCCTGGATGTCTCATGAAGAAAATCCTATGGCTCTTCTTAGTTGTCAGCTAAAGAGATGGATGAACTGACTTGGATGATATAACTATTCTAACAATAATCCATTGTAAACATGAGCAATATATATACCTTTGTTGGATTTTTATAAGCTTATTTAGCCTTTCCATGGAGCTTCCAGTTCTTGCTTAAAATATACTTATTAGCTTGAAAACAAAGCTATAAGGTTTGTTTTCTGCTGTTTCTGGATGAACTAAAATTCTTGTGAAATCCTGATTTTCTGACATTTTGATTCCACTATCCTAAGAGTGAAGTAAAAAAAAACAACCAAACCAACAACCCCAAAAGCAAATAATAAAAGAAAAATCTTTACAGAACAGTGCATTTGGATAAAGAAGTATCTAGAAATGTTTTCTGGACCAAGTCTTGTAATCTTGAGGTGAATCCCAAAGTACTCACTTTGTTTTGATGATGATTTGATATTTCTTAAATTAACCTTGTGTTCACAAGCTCTGTTCAAAAAGAATGGAGCGACCTTCTTCATAGAAATGACAGGGAATCCCGGTTTAAGGATTAAGGGTGATGGGAGGACACAGATAAAAGTAAACAGCCTTTCAGTTCATGTAGAAGTCCATTCATAGCCGAAACTAACAGCTCATCAAAACACTTGGGCATGAAGCATAACATTTTCACAAATAAAATAAGCAACACCAATCCTTCAAATGGTATTTTGCTAGAGCCTCAGTTGCACTACATCAGTGAAGGTAGAATGCATTAACAGTCATCGTTACTTAAGAATCAATATTTTAGATATACAAATTATCAAATCTAAACTTTTTTTTGCTAATCAAAACATTTCATATTATTTATGAAAAATGGCATACCTTTCTTCATTATTTTACAGTGGAAGATATTATATTATCCTTTTAACCCCTCAGAACTCTAATTTCTGTTGTGCTCCCCTGTGAATTTATTTGTCTACATGACAGTATGGCTACTGTGAAAAAAGGGTCAAAAATACTAACAATTTTAATATCACAGCTAATGTGATTGTAGAATGTGCATTGTTTGGTACCAAAATTTATATTTCCAGCTTAAAGCAAATCACTCACTCTTCCCAATTTACCATCATTTCATGGATCAAGGCTTTCCAAAATAATGATCACTTTACATAACTACTTATTTGAAATAAAACATTTAGGTTATTCATTTCCTTGGGTCTCATTTGTGACAAACAACAGACTGTCTATACATTGTCCTTTTTGTGCAGGGTCATACTGAAAATCCTGTTCCCTGACATCGTAGTAACAGAGAAAGAAAGGAAAAAAATGTGCTGTTCTCTCTTTTTTTTTCTCTCCTTTCTTTCTCCTAGGATGGAGGTTGTTACGGAGATCTATTTTGTAAAGCACTGAAAACATACAATATGCTTTGCTTTGGAATTTATCGATTAAGGGATGCACATCTAAGTACTCCCAGCCAATGTACTAAACGGTAAGCCCAGTCATTTAGAACATCTCTGCTTCGTCATTCTTCAGTCTTCTCAGCGAGGAAGATCCCAATGCCTGTAATAAATCTAAAAAAGAGCATTCTCCATTTTTTGCATAACTTTGCTACAAAAGCTAACTCTTTGAGGACTTCGTGATGATTCTTTAGCTGAGTTTAAATCATAGGCTGGATATCATAGCATCAGCTTTCAGCTAATTTTAATCAAAAATTTTTAAAGTAAATTTTCAGAACACATATTTATCTTGTTTGATTTATGATAATCCACTGCTTGCATACAGGGAAAGGACTCCAGTTTGCTTATATCAATCAGCTGTAAGTTACTGGCTAATAATTTACATTATAGTAGCTAGACTTTCTTTTTTCTGAATGCTCAAAAAATACTCCTGTGGGCTTCCTACAGGTACTCTCTGTATCTAATAATCATTTCTTCCAGTAAATGGAAACCCTTCTTTTGGCAGGCTGCATTTGTACTTCAGTAGCACCAAGGCTGACCTCAATGCTTTAAATTGAGCGGACACATTTCCATCTTTGCAAACCGAAGGCCATTTAGCAGCATACTTGAAATGTGTCTTGATTAAGTGTCTACTAGAAATACACACACAGACCTGTACCAGAACTGTCACAAATCTACCATCTGTTACTGTTTCATTCTCTACAAAAAGCATCATTATTGGGTGAACTTGGCAATAAACAACCCTGTAGCCCACCAAAGCGGTTTCTTCTGTAAGGATTTGGACAAATTGAGTAGAAAAAATTATTTTCAGTTTAGATTTACACTGTACTTGCTATACTTGGGATTATTTGTTGGATTAATAAGTGACTTCTGTCCCTGAGGCAGCTAAGCCAGATTTCTTATGAGCACTGAATTAATTTGAAAAGAAGTTGTGAGTTTTGTGATCAATTTTTACTCATTTCTTGCTTGGACAGAAAATGCCTATTGCCTTGCTCAAATATGTTTTTCACATGTGTGAAAAAATTTAGCAGCAGCGTCTATTAGCCCTTCCTACCCTGAAAAGGGGGTTAGTTGAAGGTGGGAATTCTTGAAATTGATAAGAGTTTTTGTTTCAGGTCTGGGATGTATACTTAGCAATGCTGGATTCTTGGATGTGCAGATTTCTCTTTATAAATGCTCTTTGAGTCTGTGAATGTACATGTGGAATGAATGAACAAAATTAACCTCACTGTGAATTTGCTGATATATTTTCCTTAACTTGTTTTATGTACAGTCACAATCCAAACAAATAATTATATCCCTTGCTCTATTGACAGTATTTAAATATTTAGTAAATATATAGAAAGTATGTATTTAAATATAACTGCATCTAAAATCCTCCTCTCCCTGCTTTTCAGCCATTCTTTTAAATACCATTGCTGGTGGGTATGTTACTGGGTTTTGTCAATATGTAAATCTATTTGCTAGAGTCATTGCATTATGGTGCAGCTAGAGAAAGGAGGGTGATTTGTGTGGTGCCTTCTCTGAAAAATCATGATGTGATTCACTTGAAGGACATCCTACACAGACAGTATACCTGTGCAACAGAAAACATACAAAAAATGATATCTGACATAAGAAGGTCCTAAATCATAATGGGTATTATGTGAGCTAAAATTAGGTACAGACTGAAGGAAACAGAAGTGCAAAAATCTGGGTAAATGTTTATGAGAGAACAACTGTAGCAGAATTTTTTTAGCAGAAATCTAAACCTGCTTTTTCTTTTTCTTTCTTTCTTTCTTTTTCTTTCTTTCTTTTTCTTTCTTCCTTTCTTTCTTTCCAGTTATGTTATCACAAACCCACCATATGAATTTGAGCTTGTGCCGACAGACTTGATCTTCTGTTTGATGCAATTTGACCACAACGCTGGCCAGTCCCGGGCCAGTCTTTCTCATTCCTCCCATTCCTCCTATTCTTCCAGCAAGAAGAGCTCATCAGTTCACTCCATCCCATCAACAGCAAACCGACCGAACCGCACCAAGACCAGGGATTCCCGGGAAAAACAGAAGTATGTGCAGGAAGATAGACTTTGATATGTGTACCTGCTCCCACTGTGTGTGAAACTTGCATTCACCACCCATTCTCCCCAGTTAATGTTTCCAGCAGTAATGTTCCCTGTTTTCCCATGGAGTTCTCCCTTTTTGTACACATATTTTGCATATGTATGACAGTGTGCATGTGATTGTCATTTTTATTTCACCACCATAAAACCCTTAAGCACAACAGCAACAAAGCAGACGGACCAAAAGTTATTTATGATGCTAGGGGAGAAAAAAAAATTCTAAACCCATAGGCACACAGAAAACATAAATAACTCACTGCAGTTACTCTACATATCAGAAAATAGAGTATATTTAACATGAACACTTGCTCTTGATGTCAGAGTTACACAAAGAAAGTAATTTAGTACAGAAGTGTTGACGTATGTTGCAGTAGGTTTTTTTATATTCATATTTACAGGAGTTGCTACATTTATTTGAAGCTTATAAAACTAACCCATTGGGGAAAAAAAGAAAAAAAAAAAAAAACCAAAAAAAACAAAACCCCAAAAAATCTCTACTGATTTTTCACTCTCAAGGCTTACATTGTATAGGGCTTACACTCTTTGTATAGATTATTGCTACGCACCTGCTTTATACCAAAGGAACATCAGGGACTTTTCTGCTTGTTTAAGGACTTCCTCTGACATACTAGCCTTTTGGAGATAGTGTCTTTTCCCTTTAACACTGAAACTGTCTGGGCATGGAGTTGTAAAACTCCAATGGTTTAATTTAAGTTTAGAAAGAGTCTAATTGCATATTAAATTATTATTCTGTCTATTTATACTGCCACATGAATAGCTATATTTTCTTTCACTTTTGACATTTGGAATAAAAAGCCATATGTGTCATAAATATTGGATGTAAGTCATTAAAAACTGCCTTCCTAGGACTTTTACATCTTTAAAAGGTGAATTAGTCACCTTATGTACAGAATAAATAATGTTCAGAAAAGAGCAAGCATTTTTCTATGCTTAAGTATCAGATCTCGAGGGACTTTGTTCCTTTCCCCAGATGGTTGTTTAATTTTTCCAAGTTAGAGTGGTGGTATAAATCTTCCAACAAGGGTCCTAATATTTGAAGATCCTCCAGAAATCTTGCTCCACGTTCTAGCTGGTTCTTTTCAACAGGTGCATGCCAGTCCACAGCACGCAGGAATAAAGGGGAAGAGAGCTGAGTACCTTTAAGGTCTCTCCCATTTGGGAAGAAAAGGTCGTGCTGTGCCCAAGACAGCTAATGAGCAGAACAAGAGGGCTGGGGTGGAAATATTCACTGTGCTGAGGCACCATGTTCTAGGCACTTGCCCCAGAGCTTTGGATCTTGCAGATTCCCACCAATGACACACCTAGCCAAACAAAAACCGTGGCAGGGAATTAAATAAAGTAGTGGAAAGTAACCTATCCTAGACAGCCATAGAAATGATACTTCAAGCTTGGTTTTTTTTTAATTTCAAATGCCAACCTATTGAAATACAGAACTAGTTCTAGGTGGTATGAAGAGTTTCCCAGGTTAGGGAGGCCAGAAACACATACCAACTTCCCTGGCTACCCAGCAAGAAAGCATGCAGACAGAAGATAAATATTTGGATGTGGGAGTGATTAGCATTGTAGCTGCCAACCCAGACAAGGTGCTTTTATGGTTAGTGTTGTTTTCTACCTTCCCCTTCCCCAAGCATGATAATTTTGAAGATTTGCTTGCTGTGTGAATTGACAATGAAGCCAAGCACTTTTACTGACAAAACCTGGAACCCTACAAGTGGGCTACAGAGAGTGCCACTGTGCAGTGTTAAGCATAATGATTGGAATACAGTATATATGTGTGTGTGCATTCAAAAGCAGCTGTAAGTCCTATCAGTGAAATATGTTGCAAATTGTGGATGGTCCCTTACAAATGAGTCTATTACAGTTGCTTTTCATCATAAAGACAAATTGATGTATTTCTTTTTGCAAAGAAAGTTATCATGTTTTGCCCTAAGAATATTTATTACTACAAGGATGTGCCAGTTAAAGTGCTCAACAGGAAATATGACAGTTTAAAAGCATTGTAAAACTTACATAGCTTACTTCTTTTTCTAAAGTGCAACAAGGATGAATAGAATGGGCCAAGGTATGACAATTAATGGTTCTGCATGACCTAGCAACTGCTGTGGGTTTCCTTCTATAACTTTGTCCTTGTGAAAACTTGTGAAATTAAAAAAAAAAATAGTTACAAACTTTATTCAGTTATTGGTTTGTTTGTTTGGTTGTTTTGTTGGTTTTCTTTTGCCTTTTTTTTCCCTCCAAACCAGAAGTAAAACTGGCTGCTGCTGCTGCTGCTGCTGTTGCTCAACCCTGTTTTATTTTTTATCCTCTCATCTGCTTGCCTTTCTAATTGCACGTGTCCTTTTGTAAACACCCAGGTTCCTGCTCAATGAAGATGCCTACCCTGGTGCAGACATTACTTTAATTTCCCATTCCTCATTCCAATTCCTTTCCTCCCTTCCCTTTCCTACTCCCCTGTCCCCCGTGTATGTTCATGAGCATCTTTTTATGTTGGCAATATTGACTGAAGGTAGTCGAGAGCAGTTATGCATTTTGGAAGAATGTTAATGGCTTTGACACCAAAATGCTTTTCCATTAATGTTTTATCTGTTTTCCATTTAGCAGAGGTAGGAAGGGTGTTAATATGAAGCCACTTGTCGCATACTACATAATAATTTTGTAAAAAAAAAAAATAGTATTTGTATAACTGTGCATCTCAAATAGAAAAAATATAAACAGTGTACATTAGAGAAGCAACTTGTCTACTTTGTGAGCAACAGGAGAGGGATAATACGGATGCAAATCTGAATTCTTCAAATCATATTGAAGTCTAATTCTTCTCTGTCTTCTGTCCTAAAGTTGGAAGTCTTAAAAGTTATGCCATGTGCAATTTTCACTGCTAACTATAGTCAAACTGATCGAATAGTTTATTACAGTGATGAAGATTTTCTGATATGGATATACTAATGAAATTGGGAGGTTGGTCATTACAAGTAGAGGAATGTTTAAATCAACTATGTTATGTTGTCAAAATTTTTTATATTGAAAAGTAACAGGAAATCTCCTATTTGTTCAGAAACCTATCCCAAGTCAAATGTTCTTAGTAAGTACCCTGGTTAGTTTTTGAAGGTGGAAAAGCAGCACCAATGTCAAGAGATGGCATTTTAGAGCTTTAAATGGAGATCTTGCCACTTGTATCAGTCCCAGCATGGTTTTGACAATGGAAAGCTAGGTTCTTAGTCACTTTGCTGATCAGAGTGTTGACACAAAACCATATCTAGCAAACCTGCAGGTTCTTGGCATGGGTTCCCACTGGCCTAAACTGACAGAGTCAGGCATTTTCCAGAGAAATTCCCATTGTCAAAAGTAAGAATTTTGCTAGTTTAAAAAAAATAAAAAATCACCAAGAGCAATTCCAGAATAGCATATTTGTCCCAGAATTTTGCCTTGGAGCAAAATAAAGACCTTCACAGAAAGTAAGAATAGTTTCTTCTCTCTCTCCCTGCAAATTACTTACTGCCTGCTTCATGTAAAATTTTCATCTGCCAAACAAAGAATTGCTGAGCAGGTGGGTGGAGAAACTTTCATTACTTTTTTCTCATACAGGAAGAAATAGCATGGGAGAATTTTCAGTTTAGCTGTGAATGAGCTGCCTATATGGAACGAGGGGAGGCACACACATACATACAGACTCATTTGAAACTGCAAATGTCACAGAGGAAAAAAAATGCATGTTTAAAACAATTGTAAGGTAACCTGGGATTATGGTGAGAATACAGATTTAGTAAAATCTTTGTGTCATGTTTAGCTAGTACTTTCTTTGCCTCTGCTTAGAAGAGAGGGTGTTTCACAGTGACATTTATTCAAACATGATTATTTAGTCCAGAATTAATGTGAGAAAGCACCAGAATAATAAATCTGTTGGAGAGAATTGCTGGAGTCTTATACAAGTTGAAGAAATCTGTATTTTTATCATTTTACTTTAATTATTTTATCTTTTTATGCTGCAGGGAACAGTCTTACACAGGATGTTAATTTTTATTTGTTTGTAATAAGAGCATGAAGCCTTTAGAACCTTCATGGATGCACTGGGTTGCTGATAGCCCATTGCAAACACAGGTGTTTGAGAGGAAAGTAAATGTTTTCTGCTTTCTGATACATGAAGTTACTTAGCTGTTCCAACATCTCTTAGGTGATGCTGTCAAAAACAAACCTGTCAAATAGCACAGGAAGATCAGGGACTCTCCTGAACAGCTCTTAAAAAAATAGAAGACTATGCCTGTTCTCACTATAAAGTAGAAACACATGGTAAGGATCAATATACCTATGCCAAAAGGGAGAGACGGACTGAACTTGAAACTAAAAAAAAGTTGGTCAATATAACAACATATAAAGACTTAAAAAAGGGTTTTCTGGACTGATTTAAAGGAAAGAGTAAATAGGTTTTTTAAGATACATAAAAATCTGTGCTAAGACTTTGGAAGACATATCAAAGTCAGACTGTGAGCATAACAAAAAAGATTGTAAAGTTTGTAAGAGATTCAAGAAGGACATTTAGTAACTGGGAGCAAAATGTCTTAGTGACCAAGAGTAAAGATGAAGAGTGTCAAGCTCACATTTCAAAGGTAAGTATAGAGATTGATGGACTTCCATGGGAGATTTGTCATTACATGGTCGAAGACAATTTTAACAGCAGAAAAGGAACAGGAAAGGTATAAAGCTGGGTCCAAGCATTTGATGCTGGAGATGATAATGCCTGGACCAAGTGTTCAGCACTGGCAAAAAGAAATTTAAACAGCAAAAGAAATTAGAATCTACCAGTTTCTGCATTTATTATTTATTTTCTGTATTTATTACTTGCCAGGTAAAGGCAAAAAGAGCCTTGATGGTGTCTTTTAAAGATCAGCTCCCTGGATATGAGTTTTATTGTAAAGACTAACATATAAATAATAATTGCCTTGTTTTGAAAATTCCAGGGAAAGCAGGGGAGATGATGGAAGTGCTTTGCACTGGCTGCTGAGAAACACAGTGCAGTTCATCCCTAATCCTTAGCACACACACAGTTCTCCCCTTTCTTGCTACGAGATTGAATTAACTTGCACCAACTTCTGTTTGTAAAGAAAGTTTGTGCACCATATGTTAAAAAAGAAGGTAGAGATAAAAGTTCACAGTGCTTAACTTGCCTCAAAATCATTTTAAACACAAACCATTAGAAAACCGTTAGTTTGAAATTGTTTATGTGATCTTGCAAGGCTTTTAAAACATGATAACCATCACACTTTACACCTCTCTGAAAGGTTAGTTTAATCGTAGATCACATAAAATTGGTTTCCACAAATGCATAATGGTTCATGTGTCACACTTGAACTAAATGGTTTTTTAAATGGAGCTGAAATTATTTTGATGTATACACATTCCCAGATTTTTTTTTTTTCCTACAACCTTTCTTAAACCAGCCCCCATCAGGAACCATTCCCTTAAAGTCTCATTAATAATTCAGATGTTCTGATGACTTTAAAAGATCTATGGAATTGAGGCTTTTTTTTTTTTTTAACTGCTTGACAAAAAGATAAATGAATGTAGAAAGAAGCGGTAGGAGTCTGGCAAGCTGTAGATCATCTCTGAACAGATTGTAACTTTATCATTCTGTCAGGAAGAATAATTTAAAGCACTTAATCAGTTAGCTTCAGTGTGCAGGATGTAACATTATGAATTCCTATCGTCCAATCTGTTCAAATCAAAGGGAACTTAATTACAATAGGTAAGAGAGAGAGAGAGAGATGGGAGATTGAACATTGTTCAGACTCAGGCAACTTTATGGGGGCAGGGAACTATTTACCCTGATTGCAAATGAATAGGATATTTTAAAAAGATGTAAAATACATTTTAGAAAATGACAAGAAAATACAGTAGTTCTGGTTACCTTCATTAATAAGCCACTAATGATTAATACAATTCCTTTTTTTCAATTTAAAATTTTTAAAAAGCATAAGCACAGGTAACAAATGTATCTGAAAAAAAAAGTTGGATTAAACCCTCATGAGTTTGGGGTTTGTTGCTGGGGAGTGGTGGTGTTGCATGTAGATGCTTAAAATCCATATCAAGTATAAGTGTTTAAATTTCTTATTCACAAAAGTGACTGAGAAGTCCAGTAATTCTAGAAATCAATCCGCTTCTTTAGAGGCCCTAACTTCGAAGCTAGTTGCTTATTTTTATGCATTTATGCCCAGATATTTGTACTTTATTCTTCCTGGTCTTCCAGTTTCTATTCTCTGCTTCACCTTCTGAGCTTTTGCGCTCGATCCTTGGGTTTCGAAGGTGGATTTTGCTCTGCTTATTTTTATTTATTTATTTGTTTAAAATGACCACTCTTTCCACTTCTGTCCTGATTCCAGCCCACATACAGCAGCATTTCAGTGGTAAGCAAAAGTGGCTGTTTGTATTATGTGAGGCACTAAAGCTTCCAAATCATTTTGGGTTCCCAAAATGTAGTAGTGCATACATGTAATAGCAGCAGCTCTGATGTGGCACACATTAAACCTTGCATGTAATAATGAAAATGCCCCAGTTGCAGAATCCTATCCCCAGAACCATTTGTGCCCACTGCTCTGCACACCCACCTCTGGAATTTGGGGAAGGAGGGTGAGTGGAGACCTCTGTTCACAAATGCTTGTCAAAGCACGAGCACCTAATGGCCATAAGCCACACTAAGACCAGGAGTTTCTAATTAAGAAATGACAGCAGTAATTGCTTTCTAAAGGGCTTAAGAAATTTTTTTTTTTTTTTTGGTTTGGTTTGGTTTGTGAATTTTAAGAAGTTTTTGTCCACATCTGTGTATGAACAATGCAATATAGTGGTTACAATCACAAGCAGATAGGGAATGGCCGCAATGATGCAGCCTCTCAGCATCCTCACTCCTTCCCACATTGCTCCCAGCCCACCTTAAATCAGTACCATAAAATTCTTCCTGTGTTCATGGAAACAGACACTGCCCAAAGATACAAAAGGAACAGCTTCCCCTCTAATCTTCCTTCAAGTCCTTGCTTCCTTTGCCTTGCTGTCACATATCACTACCAATCCACTCAGGATTCAGCCCCTACTACAGTCATCTGCAGCACCGAGTACGTTCCAAACCCCTTCCCAGACTGGAGAGTTCAGCAGTGCCCAAGCAGGCAGGTTGCTAAGTAGCAATATAATGGCCATCCCGTGCAGGAACGCAGCCATCTGGCAGCATGAATGAAAGCTCTATTTATTCTAGCACCAACTGTGGAAAGTTCTTCTTTACATTCTCCTGTGTGATTTCTGAACCAGAAGTAGCAACCACTCTGAGGCTGAAATTGTTCAGAGAAGCCTCTGATTCTTTAGGTTCTCCTCTGTATAGGGACTAACATGCTCTTTTCTGCATTACCCTTATCCCATCTGCTCTCCCTGGCTTCTCAGTTTAGCCTTTTATTTGTATCATTTTTTTCAATAAATGAATCAGAGGGTATTTACCTCAGCATGAAAAAAAAAAAGACCTCTATTGTATTCAACAAGTAAACTAGCATATTGACAGTTTTCTTCAGCTTCTACTATCAAATCTGCAAACGTCATCCTCCTTTCATGAAAAGTCTTTTCAGAGGTATTAATCTAATGCACCACACTGCTAGTAATTAGTCAAAGTCACCTTCTATTGATTGCCTTTTCTCTATAAACTTTACTGACTGCTCCCCCCTCCTTGGTTGTGGGTTGTTTTGGGGTTTTTTTGGTGTTTATGTATATATGTGCTTCACTAATTAAAACTCTCATTTTCCCTCCTTATTCTGTCTCTACCCATTTTGCTCCTTAGCAGAAAAGAAATGGTTTACAGATGAGCCGGATAATGCCTATCCCAGAAACATTCAAATCAAGCCCATGAGCACTCACATGGCCAATCAGATCAATCAATATAAATCGACAAGCAGCTTGATACCACCAATCAGAGAAGTTGAAGATGAATGTTGACTCCTTCAAGGCCAGAACTATTTTTATAAAGCCTGACAAACTTCATGAATGGTGATGTGACATTTATTCCTCTTACATGCTGAACCACTGATGGAGAAGTTAAGGGCAAGCTTAATGGGAAAATAAAGTAGACAGATCTTTCTTTGTCTGCCTTTAATATTGCTTCCACGTATTTTGGAAACTATTTCATTTATAAATGAACATAATCAAAACTAGTCATGTATAGCCTCTAGCATTTTAAATTATTTTTATTTATTAGAAAAAAATATATTTTTCTTTTTTTTTCATTGTCAAGTATTTTCCCTTAAAAAAAACCTGCATATGTGGCCAGACTCCTAAGAAATTAAAAAAAAAACAAACCTCAGTCTTTGGCATAAAGGAGAATGATGGTCACAGCTACAAGGACATGTAATTAAGGGAGACAAATGATATATTTACAAAAAGAAAAAAAGGTCCAACTTGTATTTTAGTAAATTAAAAAAAGAAGGAAAAACAAAAAAAAGAACAGTTCACCAAAATGTTTCTTTACTGGAGGATGTGTATTTTGTTCAGCATTGACACCAGCTCTTAATAAACTGAACTTATTTATTTTCGAAGTTGGAAGGCATATTTTTGTACATGTAACATTCTTCTCAAATATTCTTTGTTTTCTTACCATATACAGATCATCTTAATTGCCAGTTATATTAAGGTCCAATAATGCCCCCCACACACACACTGCCCCCTTCCCACCCCCCCCGTGCCTACACAGAGAAGCCCAGCATCCTTGATAACCTTCTGCAACACTGGTGTAGTGAACATCACTACCCTAAACCAAGGGCCACGTAGATAAGGTGTTCATAGGCAGCACTTGCTACAAGTGGCAAATCTGGCAATTCCACTCTGCTTCCCATTAGCCATCAGCAGTTGCTAATTTCAGGAAGGCAAGTTTGGCAATTTCTCTTCTTTTGCCATGTATTACAGTGCTTTAATCCAGAGTGCATAAATAGTGCATGAAATCATAAGTTATAAACCTTCTCATCTACCATATTTTGTTGGTTCCTTAATTCAAAAGTGCGGATGGCCTTGCATCACTCTTGTTTATTTAGTTCAAATTCTTCCTGCTATGTATAGAGGTTTAGCTCCAGAGCTTTGCACATTGGTGATAGCTCATACCTTGGTAAAAGGCATGCTGAATCTCCTTTTGGTGAGTTCGGATCAGGATAAGAACTGGTTTAGCCTCAGCTTTATAATCTCACCACATGCTGTTCTCAGTTAATTCCTGCACCAAGCGACATCTTATTTTAGCAGTTGCTTTTTTTCTTTAATTTATTTTCACTTTGCTGGGACACCACACATAAAAGTACAGTAATAACCAAATCAAAACAAAAGTAATGAATGTATTTCTTATGATAACTTACAAAAGGCCTTTGATGGGTGCCTTTTGTGTCAGCAGTTTCACAAAGTTGCCAACAAGCTTTATAGCCATCAGACAAAAATGTGATGTTTCATATCTGTGCTGCAGTATATATCTACCCAAGCATTTGATGTTCTAAATGATTTAGTAACTCTCTCTATCTCAAATTAGCAACATCTGACACAATTGTGTGAAGAAAAAAAAAAAAAAAAAGAAGAAGAAAAGGCTGTGCTAATAAGGATTAAAACAAAAATATAGGACCCAGTCATCAGGAAAGGGAGAGTTTCATTGTGCAAGTTAACTTTAGGCTTTGTAATTTTGCAGAATTGTTAAACACCACAATAAAACATACCGTGGTACTTTTATCATTAGAGAAATACCAGTGAATCAAATAAATACAAAGCAGATGATGAATTTATTGTGAAAACAATGATGTCCACTATATAATCCAACATTTAAGCTAAACTATCTGAGCTTTAATGTTTGTCCACTGGCTGCAGTACAAATATAACCATACTAACATCTAATAAGCTTTATTCTGGAGTGACATCTTGGACTGTGACTACTTTGTTGTTACATTTTTGTAGAATAGCTCTTTAAAGACAATAACAAGAATTGTTAATACAGTATCTGTAAAATTGGATTGTTTAAAATATTTCACTCTCCTACAAAGTAACAAAATTTAAGCAGTATTTCATTATCATTTAGACCATGTTTAACCCATTTCACAGTCCCCAAACCAGAAGATGATTCTGGTGAGTTCTTCCAATATATGCTGCTTCAGCTAGTGACATGTTATAATCTACATCCAGTCTCTGTGTTGGGTCATGTTAAGCCTTTACTTTGAAGTCAGTGCTCCTTTTTCATTTATGAACTGCATTCATATTATAACCAGAGTGAAAAAGCTGGTCCTGAGTACAGGAGAATTTTTGAAATTTGTATTCAACTTTTCACTAAGTAAGTAACATGCAATTTTTTTTTAATTTTTATTTTTTTCTTAGAAGACTGGTGTTTACTGTAAGGGTATAGAACTTTATATCTTATATTTTATCACATACAGTGCCATTTCTGAGTGTCCTTCCTTCCTTCCAAAGTGAGCGTTCACTGGATAAAACATACTAATGAATCAAATACAATACTCCTACATAGCTAAGCTTTGTGTGTGTCTCTGTCCAGTTTAACTGTCACACCCAAAAATATCGTGCTGCCAACTGTACATAAATAAAGGACAAGATCTGAATACACTCACGCTCTCTCCCAGCACAGCTAGGTCCATATGTAACAACTATAGATAGAACAACATCTGCAGAGAGCGAGTGAGACAGAGAGAAACAGGTATAGTTATGGGTTTGCGTTTCCCATTTATAGAAAAGCTAAGAACAATCAATAATCTTTTCTTGCTCCTCTTTTTGATGATCAAAGATGCAGGACTGACTTCTGGCAATTAGATGGAGGAACATGTAGAAAACCTGTTGGAGATCTTTGACATTCAGCCATTAAAGACTACAATAAGGCCAGCACCAATATTTGGATATATGAAGTTACATCAAGGCAGGTGGCTGGGAAAGTGGCCTAAGTGACAGCTGACAGACCACATGATGACTGATGCAGAAACAAGATTTTGATCTTTATTAATAATTCTTACTCCTTTCTCACAAGACAACAAAAAGGGAATTTCAGCTCTTTCATTAAATGCATGCACAATTAATATGAGCTAAACATTTTTTGGGGGGGGGTTACATTCATTGGATAGACAGTGTGTCTGTGTGTGTGTGTGTTTGCATATATGCATGTCCACACACATATATATATATATATATATATATGTGTGGATATATACTTGCATATATATAGGGGTGTATATGTATTTGATACAAAGTCATCACAAAAAGATGGTCATTATTTTGGGGGGGTCTAGTGTGAAAAAAGTCACAAAGGAAAAGAAAATATGTGACTTCTTTTACAGACTGGCGCATGGAGGCATTGTACCTGCTATTTCCTCCTGGTTCGACCAAAAAAGCAGCCATTCCTGGCAGTTATATTAGCGGTGCACTGACAGTACGCTGCAGAAACCTCTCTGACTGCTGAAGCAGGTGTGTGCCCCAGTCCCTGCTTGCACTCATCCATGCACATGCATGCCTCCACATTGCCAGAAAGCCTGCTGTCTCTCTGTCTCATGGCTACTATTTTAATTGGTCCCCTGAAGTTCATGAGCACTAAGATGAAAGGATAAAACTGTCCTCCGATGGGGTGTTGCTTGGGTGGCCATTGACAAGCACAGCTAACATTAAGGTGTAGAGAAAAGAAACTATTCAAAGTCTATATGCAATTTTTTTTAAGGCTTCAATGTGGCCATCTTACTTTTGCTTGTAAGATGATAAGTATACGATGTATTTATTAATAGGAAAAAAAATGCAAACATTTGCTTGTACTTTTCAAAAGCTTTCTAAAACTGTCACCCCTGTTTTAACAGGTCTTCTTTCAAATCAGCATCGATGGCCAAACAGTAGGAAGTACACTTGGCAGAAAGCACAAACTCCTTGCTCTGGGGCATGATCAGTTATACAGTGCTGCAGGTTCACAGACAACATTGTTATTCCACCTGTAACACAAAGGGGCCCTGCAAGCCCTACTAGACCAAAAGCCAAGAGCGTAGGGAGAGAAAGCATGGGTTGAGAGGGACACGACACATCCAGGTCCTCAAGCAAATGTAGGCATGTGGCTATCTCCAAGCCATTTTTGATGGGAAAGCCAGTGCTGCTTATACAAGGTGAAGGCCATGAGCTTCAGGATAATGAGAATCTTGTGTAGCCTTATTAAGCCACACAGATGTCTTGACAGAGTTGATGAGTGTTCAGCAGCTTACAGGCTATTGCAGCGGCTGGGGCTGTACAGGAAGCCAGGTTTAGTCATACTAAAGATATTTTTTTCCCCTATATTTGAATGTTAAAGAAAAAGGCCACCCAATGACTCAGGCAGCATGGGTGTTAAAAGACTTAATTGGCCTCAGCCAAATGTGAAGAAGAGGAAAAATAGTTTGCATGTAATGTGCAAGAAACACTACAAAAGTCTTGTCTATAGCCTTTTAATACAGGTTATTGGGTGGTAATGGGCAAGGTTGTTGTTGGATTTCTTTTCTTTGGCCAGTGTAAGGAAGATTTGTATTTTTTGAAATTTTCATAGAGTAGAAGAAGAGGAAAATATACTACTGTGTTCTCATTCAGAGACGACAGTTTTTGTTGGGGGTGTAGGGGTTTGTGTGTGTGCGTGTAAACTACAACTACTGCAATAATTGGATGCCTAAACTAATGCATGACAAAGCAATAATTTACAAATAGGTGATTGTGCATGTTTTCACTGCTTGGTCACTCACCAGTGAATCCATAAATGTTAGCAACTGCCCTGTTCTAGCTGACTCACATGAGCTCAAAGTTAAACACAGAGTAGGTGCTTAAATGGTTTTATCAAGAAGCAGGTTCTTAAGGGCTTCTGGATCCCAATGTATTTGAAAAGAACACATATTGAGGTTGGGGGGTGTGGTATTTTGTTTTTAAAGCCGTCATCATTGTGAATTTCTTTAGCACCAAAAGAAGTGTATGCCTCACCTTTCATTTCTAGTTTTTAAATGTGCTTAAACAAAATAACCAAGTGTGTGAAAGGCATTGAACAGGACAAAGTGAAAACAGAAATTCTTTCCCTGTGTTACAGTGGATTGGCCTGGGAATATCTGTCAAAGTAAGTCAATGGCAAATGCATAGAAAACTCCAGGGGAAAGGAGAGTTCTTTATATTCCTTCTTTTGTTTTCCTTTCCCTGCCATCTGAACCACCAATATCCCCAACATATGAGCAAGAACTTTTTTAATTTTTATTTTTATTTTTTAATTCTAAGGGTATAAGGGTATTTGTTTGAACAAGTCCAAGCTTAGGGGACAGAGTTTTTTAAAAATCATTATATATGCACACCTAATATTCAGTTAGCAGGCATAATATTTGTAATACTTTTGTACTGAGCAATACTAGTAGGTGTGGGTACAGCCCCCATCTGAAATAAAGAAAGGAATGGAGTAGCTGTTCAGCTGTGGCCAGTACCTAGGATGGTACATAATCCTATAGTATTGACAATTCTGCCCCAGCATTTATCAAAGCTATATTTATATATGTATCTATTCTGCACAGATATTCTCTGCTATAGAACATGCAGCTACACTGAAACTGTATAGTCTGTAATGTGCAGTAGTCTATATAACCAAGTAAATTCCACTGAAGTTAATAGATAGGACTGCTGGGCTAATGTATCTGTTTTATATAATGGTGTACTACTGTTAACTGTCAAAATGAGAAGGGGAAGGAAGAAAATATAAAAT